TGTTGAGGTAAATACAGTTTTGGTTGTTAAGTCATAAAAATGTTATTCTGAACAATTTCAATGCTTTACACATTTTTATCCCTGCATAACACTGTTATTCACAGACCTCCTTCCCTCTAGGAAAGTCCAAAAACTAGTGCAAACATTGCTTGACAGTGCCATCGGTGGCTTAGCATGGAAGAAGGTTTCTCTTGTCTCTGACTTCTTTAAATCTACAAAATTAATTAATTGACTTAATGATCTTTGCAGTTGACACCTTTTCATGTTACAAAATAAATACAACTAAAATTTAAATCTAAAAAAATCTGTATAGTTCCAGCAGACAGTCAGAACCACACTCTTCACCTCTATAAACTCAGATTAGGATGCAAAGACTGGACTGTGTCACTACATGAATGTTCTCTGAACTTCTTCTGTACTCTTGCAGCCTGTGGTTCTGGTACCTTTGGTTTTTTGAAGTTGAAAGTTTAAAATGTTCTGGATCATTAGAGAACAGATCATTATTTTTTGAATGAAGAGTCATTCTTTGACTGAAAAAAATACTAACCATTTGACAGCATATGGCAAGGACAGCCAATGTGCCTTACTAAAATGCTTTTCACTTCTTATTCACTCTGTTACTGTAACAACAATAATTGCAAGAATAAGTAAACATTGATGATGACAATGTGATATTTCAAAGTTCTCTACAAGTCTATTGTAGAGTGTTCTTTTAAATATGGTTTATTGAAGGAAAACCAATAAAGGAGATGTTAATGAGGTGAATGGTCTTGTTGCTGATTAACCTCTTGCCAATAAAGACGGTGCAGATTCCTAAGTTTTGAATGTTTGGGTTAACTCTTGCAAATTGAAAGGCAAGCCTTATTCTAATATTATTGCTTAACTAAAAATATCAATAATATGGTACTTAAAATGATAAACCATTTGTTTAGAACTTAATTATCACATTAAATGCAAGGAGCCAAGCTTGCTTTGGGAATGCAGAATAAATTAGTAGTTGGCAGAAAAAAATCTAATCAAAGATTTAATTGGCAGTGATTGATTGGTAATGATAATAGCTTCCTACCTTTGACTCTTTCACCTTTAATGGGTGAAACAGTTTGGTTTTGATTAAATTTGATAAGTTTATTTGTATGTCATTTTAAGAATCAACAATCTTAAGACCCATTGAACTACATCGTAGGTGAAATCCTTTGAGAAAGACAGGCAGACGGAGAAAAGGATTTTAGAATCTGACTTAGTAGATCACCTGATCCAGAAACTGAAAATGAAAATTGGTGACGAAAGATGTAGTAGGTGAGTAGCATAATGTGTCAATAATGTGGATAGTCAAAATCAGAAGTGAATATATGCTTGCATATGCTGAATTAAACCTCCATTTTATTTGGTAAGGAATTGCTGAATTTGTTCTGAGGGAAAAAGAAAGCAAAAGGCTCTGTTATAGAATTGTACTGAGATTAAGAAAGAAACTTATTTCCGTAGCTGCTGCTACATTCACACAACCATAGTGCTTCATAAATTAAAAGACCACACAGCTATCCCAAAGCTGCTAGAATAGCAGTAGTGTTTGGCTGCCTGCAAGTCCCTGTTACTGAGCAGAAGTCCATTACATTTGTGTACTGTGTAATCAAAGAATTAAAGCAGCAAATCCCTTTCATTCTGAGGCAGTATTTGTATGGTGAAATGAAGGTGTGACTCTTGCACTTCTGTATGCTCTGGTGGCAGAAGTGAAAGTAACACCTGGCAAATACTTCAGGTATACAGGAAAACCCTTTCACGCTGGCTTCATTGAAATTACTATTTGCTGTCACCAATGGAAGTTAGTACAGAAATGACAGGAGTAGTTAGTACAGATATGTACTGCTCAAGCACTACAGCTGTTACTTACACACAGCCCCCTGTAAGTCTGTAATTATACATGCATCTAGATATTTTTATATGTGTACACTTACAGCAGGAATAGACATGCATTAGTCACACAAAGTAGAATTCAGAAACTTAACAGATTTGCCATAGTTTTTCTGACTAGGGTTAACAATAAAGGAAATCATTAAGCTTGGAAATGCTGAAATCAGGCAGTAGTTTATACAAGCAGTTGACATCTCCTGCTATTCACCTCTCATTCTCTTTTTTCTGGCCTCAGCCAGTCTTAGTATTTAATTTTACAGCTAACCTGATCCTCAAGTGCTTTGTGACAGATCTGCTAGAAGCTGTGAAAGAAAATCATTCTTTCAAAAAGTTACCTTATTTCTAAATCCTGAAAACAGAACAGAAAAACCATTGCATGGTACCACTAAACAGAAATGCAATAACTGACTGTAATAGTGGTGTCAAACTTCTCTTTAAATTAATCCCTGAATGTGGAAACTAAAAGTATCCAAATTAATAACTAAAGACTTCTTTGAATATATGTGCTCTTCAGTATAAATACTACTTTTATACTTCAGTATTATGTCATAGCAACCTGTGAGAAGCAGATGAAATTAATAATTCGGAGAGAATACTCTCACAATATATTTTTGTATTAGGATATAAATCACTCTTGTATGAGAGGGAGGACATTTTTTTGTATCCATAGGGAGCATTGCTTCTAGACTTGACTTCTAAATGTAATTTTGTATGGTTTCCTGTCAGTTCCTGAATAATAAATGTGTGCTGGGGAGTATCTGCAGACTTCTTTATCTGTTGGAACTAAGTTTAAGTATCTATGATAATCTGAAACTACTGTCTTATTACAGTGTTTATTTATACTTGTAAATTCCTTAACTGTCTTTGTTTATTTTTAGAGAAACCACAGATAGTCTTTCAATACCAAGTCAAAAAGGATCATTTACTAATATTGCAGGTATTTAATATCTAGTTACAGAACATACAAACTGTTCTTCTTACTGCTCAAAAACTATTTAGTAGGAAAATAGTACCAAAGGCAAAGTAAGAAAATGTTTTATAGCAGAACTCTGATTAGAGGTACTGCCTCTTAATCTCAGATATTGTTCCAAGTGATTTAAAACTTTCTCTCCAAACTAAGTGCTCAGACAATGGGCATACAAGCATTTGTTGATGCAGTAATCCAAGAGGCTGGGAAAGCCAAAATTCTCCAATTTTCCTAGCTGAGGAGAAATTTAAATATCATCTTGATGAAAAATAACTTGATCTGTGATTGTTAAAGTATTGAGACCAAACAAAAATGCCTGTACATTTCTAGCTGTGGATTTGCATTCCTTATTCTGATAATATAAAGAATAATACTAAGTGCTTACTGTGTGGCTAAAGTTTGGCTTTTTTGATACTTGTTTTATTGAACACTGATACAGTGTGTGGTGATGGTGATTTTTCAAGAAACACTTCACACATACACTTTTGCATAATGGGGAGGGAGAGAGGCCATGTTTAACTTGGGGGAGGTTTTGTGTGTGTGTGAGACTACCAGAAATGGAAATTTAAGTTTGAAATAAGCCATTTCAATTATTGTTATACTGGGGAAGGTGGAGTTTATTGTTTGTTTTGTCAGTGATTCTGCTATGGGACTGAGCATTAAATAGTCACCTCATTCTTGTAATAGCTTTTCTTTTTTTGATATTAGGTGCACTGCATTCCTTTGTAAAATTATGCAAGTCATTTGGAACCTTTTCTTAGTTTCAGGGAGCAGTGATATAAAATGCCAAATTTCTTAATCTTAACAAGCAGTCCTTCAAAGTCATGAGTGTGTGTTTGAGAATTGATGTGCACATCTCATTATCCTCAAATTTTGGTGGTTTTCAGCATCTTTTTAATCACTGTACTGCACTGATTTTAGTATATTAGTGAAATTTTTGTTTCTTGATACTTGTTGTATAAAGAAATACTATAAACTAAAATGATGCATTTGCATTTTAGGTGTGTTTGAATCCCATGGAACTCTTGTGCCTAACGTTAGCGTTATAGCTCCTGAAAAATTATCTGCCAGTGCCAGGCGTCGTCAAGAAATTCAGGTACACACACATCAAATAACTATTCAGAGGGGATCCTTAGAAGTTAAGGAATGGTAGAATTCATACTTCATTATCACCTAACTTAAATTCATCCTGTTTGTTTTTTATTCATAAATTAGACTAGGAACAACACAAATGGTTGAAGGCAAAGACCACCCTTTTTAACCGTTCGGATCTTAGGGATTATCTGTGACATCATGGCTCAGCTATCACTGTGCATGCATACTAGAAATCTTACTTTTTTAGAAACTGTGGTTCTGGATATTTTCCTTCCTTTTTCTTCCTCCATAAATGCTGAGTGTGTTAAAGGCTGTCGTGGTTTAACCCCAGCCAGCAGCCGAGCCCCACACAGCCACTCGCTCACTCCCCCATTAGTGGGATCAGGGAGAGAATCAGAAGGGTAAAACCCAGAAAACCCCTGGATTGAGACAAAGACAGCTTAATAGGGAAAGCAAAAGCTGTGCACACAGCAAAGCAAAACAAGGAATGAAATGCAGTGCTGTCCATGGGCAGGCAGGTGTTCAGCCATCCCCAGGAGAGCAGGGCCCATCACCTGTAATGGTGAATGGGAAGACAAACACCATCACTCCAAATGTCCCCCTTTCTTCCTCCTTCCCCCAGTTTTATATACTGACAATGATGTCACATGGTCTGGAATATCCTTTTGTTCAGCTGGGGTCACCTGCCCTGGCTGTGTCGCCTTCCATGCACCCCCAGCTTCCCTGCCAGCATGGACCTACAAAAAGCAGACCTTGGCTCTGTTATCAAACAAGTTACATTGTTTTAAAAGAAGTGGTCTATGCAGCAGTGCAGGAAGATGTTGGAAAACAATAGTGTTTGATCCCTACATCTGTGGCTAATAGTCTTGTGCCAGTTATTGCTTCCTTACTTATCTTTATCAGATTAACTGCCCAGCAATAACAAAAACATCTGTTATCAATTCTGTGTTCAGCAAAAATCCAAAACATAGCCCCATACCAGCCATTGTGAAGAAAGCTAGCTCTACCCCAGACAAAACTAGCACAAAGGTGCAAGTTCATCATACTTTTAATGTGTAGTATGTTTGTAATAGATACTTTATGTATTTTATTTCATTATGTTGTCTCAAACTAAAGACCTAAGAAAAAACTGTGGATTTAAAAAAACACATAAAAAACCCCAAACCAGAACAATAACAAAAAAAAACCTACAACCTGCCTAAAACATACTATAGTAATGTAGAAAACATTCAGTGATGCTAGAAACAAATGTAATTTTCATGGTAAAACAGAACTGTCATCTTATCCCCTTTTCAGTCCAAACTTGGATGTGCAACAAAAAATCTCCCCAATAGTTCTCAGAACCCAAATAAAAAAGTGGATGTTACTCTGAACTAAACAATCTTGCTGTTTTCAGGTTTTGAATATGTAAAAGCAACTTTTCCAAGGTACAAAAGACAATATAATGCAAGCCTGCAGCTACATTAGTAAAGTGCAACCTTTGCAGAACCACTAGCCTGCTCTGAAAGAGGTGTCACAAGGCATGACCCATATTTTGGTTTGCCTTTCAAAAGCCATCTTCCTTCTTTAGCTGGAGGTGATTGACTGCATCCAGCCACAGGTTCTCACATTCGTTTGAAAGTTATCTAACTCCCAGAAACAGAGGGCAGTTTTCACCAGTTATACAAGCTATATTCATGTTGTTCTGTCTGCTTTAGCACTGTGCCAGTATTGTTAAGTGTGGACCATTGATTCAAGAGTGCCTCAGCTCCAGTCTCTTCCCTCTCTGCTCATCAAGGATTACTGTGAAATTTTTACTGAAAATTATAATTAAATATTTGTTTAAATATTATGTAGTTCTGCATCTTGTTAGAAGCAGCCTCTTTTGTTCTTATTTATGCAGTATGAAATCAGTGTTCCCATCCTGTGTCACGCGAGCTGTTTATTTTACTTTTGCCCATCTTTTGTTCCCAGGTACAAACAAGACTTCAGACATTCATTTCTAGCCTGCAACAGAAAACAAGTGAGATTGAGATTTTAGCAGTAAGTATTTGGCAGAAGCCTGAACTAATTCCAAATTCTTAATTGCAGTGGATGATGCTGTTCCTGTCTGGAATAAACCACTGCCAATTGCCTCACTTTAGCAATAACCAAATGATCAAACTTGTGGTTAAATAAGACCCCCTGTTCTGTTTCTCTGATACTTGAAAAGTATCTCAAATTGTATGGGACAGCTGCATGAAATAAAATTTAACAAGCATTTAATTGTAAGCTCGTAAGCTGTAATTACACCAACTATTGTGGTAGATGTAATAACTTGTTCCTGCTAGATTTGCACTTCCATTTAAGCAAACATAGCTCTTGTTTGTATATAGCTTTTAGACTTCACTGATCATGTCACAAAGGACTTCAAAATGGTGTATGCTTTTCAGGAAACATAACTGCCTATTTGCCTGCACCTATGTCCAGCTTTCCATAATGGAACCTATAATGAATACTTTAAAAGGTTTTAATCATTTTAAACCAAGTTCCCAGTTTTAGCAGCATGAGTGCTTCTCTGGAAATGAAAAATCTGACTCCCTTCAGCATTGCTCATTGCTAGTTGGCAAAATGGTAACAGAGAACGGTTAAGTATTGATTTCCTGCTATTTTTACAGGTTGATCTGCCAAAAGCAACTGTGATACACTTCTTATCATTAGAGGTAAGCAATTAAGTATTATTGTTAGAACTCTAACTGAACACAATAGGTGATAAATTCTATTGCCAATGAAGTGTAAAATTCACCCATTGTAGATTTCTCGAAAGTTTGAATTAGATTTAAAACTTAAAAGTATTTTTTTACCCAGGGAGCTTGACTTGACATTTTTGTGAAATGTCCAAGTTACACAAGACAACATTAGGAAGTCCTAATCCAAAGCTCTGAGTTTTTCCTCCAAAAATAGTTATCTAAAATTAAATCTTAACTGCTCTTTTTCAGAAACCAATAAGCATTAATAATAGTTTCAACAAAGGGGTTCCTTGCAGCTCTTAATGAAGGAGAAGCCAAAATAGAGGCAATTGTTTCGAGTACAGTAGCTGGAACATCCCTTAGTGAAGCCAAGATATAAAGGGGACATATATTACATTGACACCGTTAACAACTCAAGAGCTGGTCAGTGGTGCATGAAATGACAACACCAAAGACAAAGCTTTCGTCTTTTCTCCAATGACAGCAGTAGCTTAAGAGGGAGATGGGTGCCTCCCCACCCCCTAAAAAACCCAAACTCAAGAATGGCATTCTACTGGAAGTGCATTTTAGTACTTCTATTGGCTGCTCTGAAGCAATGCTTGTCTGATAATCAAGACTCAGTGAAACATTTCAAAACATTTTTAAAATACTTAGTTCTTCCAGTCTGTATAAATCATGGAGGTAGTTGATCACCTTTTACTTAAAAAAAAAAAAAATTAAATACATATGCATGTGATCAGCTTGCATCATTCACTTTTGATCACCACTACATCACAGTTACGGTTCATTGTTTGTGCTGAAATGTGTTAAAAACTGATCACTAAATTAACATTTTTTCTTAACAAAAAATAAAGTTACACATGTTGTTGACATTTGTCACGTTTGAAAGCTGTTTAATTAAAGAGCATTGACACTACACAGTATTCAGAAGGCTGCATCTTACTGGGAGAAGTGTTTCCTTCACAAAAGAGTATGAGACTAGCATAGTTCCTTGACAATTTTTTTTTCTTAGCTTGATGGAGATAGACAAGCCTTTGATGCTACTGTGAGACAATTGATGTCACGATGGCCCAAGCAGAGATCTTCGTATTTACAATCAATTTGTGATGAAATTTACAGTCTCAAAATGGAAAAGAGGTAAATTTGTTAATTCTTATGGGTACATAAACTAGATTTTTTTTTTCAATTTTTTCTGTATTCAAACTAGAGCTTGTCTTCCACTTTCCTCTCTCTCTGAGGCAAAAAAGAATACTCAGAAAATGTGTATAGTCCCTTCAAAACTACAGGACTGGTCACTAACCCTCACTTACTGATAAAATGTAAATTTTTCATTTTTCCAAGTCTTTTCAAGAAGCTCTAGAATATATGACCACTTTTATCTTACTTGCTGCTGTGTTAATAAAAATGAATAGCAGACAACTACGTACAGTCAGGTACCCTGCTATACATAGTACATATACTTCTATATATATAAATAAATATATACATATGTAAAATGTACACATCTACACTGCTAGATAAAAACCCTCTTTTCTGATGAGAGGGACTCGGCTCGTCTTTTAAAACTGATGAACACTAATTCCTCCTGCTTTGAAATAATATGGTGGCAGTCAGGCAGAGGTGTGAGAGTGCCCAGTATGCTCTCCCAACAAGTACAGTACAGCCCATTTCTGTTTTGTAAGCATAAAAACATTTATGTTCAACTCATAGTCTGCCTGTTGGATTCCAGCAAGGCTGATACAGATAGTCTGGACACATCCAATATGTCCAGTTTTAAACCTCAAATTGTTAAATGTTGCTTGTACTGGTCCACTTAAGACCTGGGTACTTATGCCTAATTATGGGTTTTATTTCATTTTCTTAAACCTTTGTTCCACTTGAAAGTACTACTTAATCTTTAAATAAGACTAAAACTTTGAGAAAAAGGAACCACATGCACCAAAATTGCTCCAGGTTTGCTGTTTACTAAGACAGCTACATTATCAAGTGAAGCATTTGTTTTCTTCATGGGGTTTCCAAGGCTCTGAGCAACAGAACCCAAATAATACTCCATGCAATGCTGGGTATGAATGTAATAGCGCCTCACTATCTTCCTATCCCATTTGGGGCCTGAGCACTACTTAGCCATAAGCCTTCAGATCACTGAAGTGAAAACTGAACAGGCAAGATCAATGGAAAGAGGATGAGGGGAAAATTGCAGTCACAGGCAAACAAACAAAAACTTACTGATTTTCTGCTAAATCTTTGCTGCTATCTTATTGTATTTGTCACAGGAATTGCAGCATTCAAACCTGCAGTTTCAAAATACTAAAATTCCTTTTCCTTCCCTCTGCAGGGTCTCTGCACTTATCCTGTACAGTTACCGAGATGAATACAAGGTTTTGTTTTAGTACTTAAAGTATCTTTTATGGGATCCTTCTACAAATGGACAACAGCATTTTGTAAAAAGGAATTTCAAAAAGCTGTAGTAATGCAAGAAGGCAACTAGAGCCTCTTTCTGTGTCCAAATTGCATTTCATGTATAATATTGTCCTGGTTCTGGCCACGACAAGGTTATTATTTGCTGTAGCTAGGAGGGAGCATGGCCAGGACCCAGAGGTTGAGCTGTACCACCTCCCACCATTGCTGGGGGCCTTCCAGGTGGGCACAGCGTGGCAGAGGGAGCAGTTGGGTCGTGTTGTTTCTGTGGATTCATTCACCTTTCCTGTACTCTCTGCCACTGGAATTGTTGCTGTTACTCTTTTCTTATCTCATTGCTGTTTCCAGTAAATTCTTACCTCAACCTGTGCTCTTTACTGTCTGTCCCTCCTGATTCTCCTCTCCGGCCACTGGCAAGGGGAGGAGTAGTGGGTCGCACATGGATTCAACTGGAGCACTAAACTAGAGAATGACATTCCTAAACCATGACAAATACAAAACTAAATGCTTTCAAAATGTGGAAGTAGTTGTTTTATTGGCAATTCAGGAGCAAGTCTGACTAGAGCCACAGATAAGTATTGCCATGTAGTTCTTGCCTCTTATGCTACAAAAATAAGCTGTACAGATGTAAACCTATTTTTTGTAATAGTTTCAGAATGCCTTTTATGCAACAATAGTACTGCAACAAAAATGTCAGTTCTGGAATCATGAAAAGAATGAAGTACCTTGAAGAAATTGTTTTAAACATTTTTGAAGAGTTTTTGTGTAATAAAACCAGCTGAGCCTTATTGAAATACTCATTACAAGCCTTTTGTGTGTCCTTTTTAGTTGTGTTTTTTAACCTACTTTATGTACAAAATATGGTAGATTTCAGGCTGAGTTGTTACAAGCCTGGCTGCCTGTGCTTGTCCTGTCTGTACTTTTGCATTTGAATAAAGCAGCAGCTTCTGTAAGATGAAGACCTGATAAAATAAAACACCTGTTCTAGACCTGCAGAACCAAAGACTTTAAAGATAAACAGTAACCTGCATGTGCTTGAAGCACAACCAGAGTTTTGAACTTTCTTTATCTGAGTTGTCAGATTAAGTTTGAAGTTAAAGTCATAGTAATGATGGAAGTATTATTATTATTTTTATAATTATTATTATTATAATTACCTTCTTGATGCTAAACTGTAACACAACCCCATAGGAAGAATGAAGCTGAGAAACTATTATTTACAGGAGTCATAGTTAACTATGTATTATATTTCACATCAAACACTGGAGGAATATGCAGAAATGTTAATGATTTCTGGAAGTACACTGGTGTTTACCTTTCCTCCCCACTTGGTACCTCTTGTTTAAACAACTTAACCTCTTTCTCTACACAAATGATTGCCATTTGCAGACTCATTGCATTAATATATACCTACTGACTTTTTCCACCCTTTCTTGTAGCAAAGAAGGTGACAAAACATGTAGAGGTTTGCAAGACAAACCACAAAACTTCTGAGAACTGTGAAGGTTCAACAGCAATGTCCAAAGCAGCAGACAATCCTAAAGGCATAGATAACTGTGCCATTCCTAGCAGTTCACCACAAGTCATATCAGCCATTACACCCAATCCATTTCTCATTACGTTTAATAGGAGCAATTACATATTTACTTTTTACATCTGCTCATATGAAGAAAGGAAAATTCAGATCCCTGAATATACTGAAGGATAATGTTTTTTTTAAAAAAAGTTTAGGTGACATGACCATTTTTAAGCTATTTCTGAAGGGAACATGATGCTGAGTTCTACCCTCCCCCCACCCTGAGCCCAGGTCAGAACAGCTAGATAGATCAGCATGGAGTGAAAGCTCTGCAAGAGCTTAAGCACTGTGCTGGCTGCCTTGGGGATATCTGCACTGCATCATGTAGACATGACCCTCAGATTAAGACAGAAACAGGAAAGCAGCTGTTCCTGATAATATGTTGGCACCTGCTTTCCCTAGAATTACAGAGGCTCATCTATAAAATTGGGTATCTGTCACTGAGGCTCCTGCTCCAGTCTTGTTTTGCTCCTGGCACAGTGCATGTCTCTTCACACAGTGCTACCCCCAAGACAGGGTTTACACTGGAGAGAACACAGCAGCAGTCTAAGTACAAATCAGCTGAGTGTAAAGCTATTTCAGTGTAATGCTGTACATACTCCTGCCGTACAACAACCCAAAGAAAGCACCTTCTGCTCTCAGTTTAAACAAAAGTACTGATCACATCCCAGTATCCTGCTGGAAGGAAAGCCAAAGACAAATGGTAACTCGAAAAGAAATGGACTTTGCTTTGAGCAAGGGTCAAGTCTATTATAGTGATGGTAGCACACTGTCCCATCACTGTGTTGCTTTACTCTTCTTGGCCTTGCTTTTCTTGTCTTTCTTCTTCAAGCCATCCATGTTGGCTCTTAGCAAATTTGAATATGCCTGAAAGAACAATTAGAACCATTTAAAAGAACCCCAAATACTTAAAAGACAACATTCTATGTATTACAAATGGCCAATTATCTGCCTTTTCCCAGAGAATCATGCTCTTACACCCTGCACCACGAAAATACTGTTTCTAAACCAACGTACAAGGATGGATAAAATAAAACGGGATTTTCAAAAAACATATTAAGATAAATGGGTAGTCTCAGTTAGTTTCTGTGGCAGTTCAGCAAGAAATCAACCTGTTCACAGCTGTCCAGTGCTTCCAACAGGCCACTTCTACTACTTACAGAAAAGGAGGATAAAAGGCAAACAAAACTTACCATCTGGAATTTATTTACTTCCTTTGAGCTCACCTATAAAAGTAATACTGGAGGTTAACCATGAAAACTCTGGCTTCTATTACAGACCAAGTATCAGTACATGTTTACTCACCAGTTACCATATGGTCTTTTTAGCATCAGTTGGATCAGCTTATAACATTCAGTGGTCAATGTGCTATACTGGTATGTCATAGGACTTCACTGACTTAGAAAACTGAAAACACTCCTTGATTAAGAAAACCCTCTACAGGCCATTCATCCCTAAGTTACATATGTTCACATGGAAAGAATGTGAAAAAGCATTCAAAGAAAGCTTTGATTCACTTGTTGGGCCATAAAAATGCTCCAGCTCAGATTCTCAGCTATTTCTCTTAAGTAACATTTTTCCTTGTGCCATATCACAGAGCAGAACTAAAGTCAGCTAAAGCCTTTCCCAATCCCCCACTGAAAGTAAACACACATCAGGTTTTCAACTTTCAGTTAACATTTTCTCAAGTTTCACTTAAAATACGGAGCATTAAATCAAAAACACAGAGCCACTAACCTTTCTAACTTAAAATTGTCACTTACCACTGTGCTAATTTTCTTCTTTCCATCAGTTGCTCTCAGGAGACACTTATTGTCTGCTGGTTCAAAACTTTCTACATGGCCTTTGCGTGGAACTGGCTTTGTTCGACCATCATCTGTATTGAAAAAGAATTTTTATTCTTATTTCATTAAAGTCAACAGATGCCTTCTGATATGACATGCTAAAAACTCATGAGCAGATCTGTAAAACACCGTGGAATTTTAGGCCAGCTGAACTAAGACTGTTGCCAAATTGCTCTTACTCTAGAACATCAGAAAGAGCTGTTCTGTAAACTGTATCTGTCAGAAAAAATGAAGTAAATCGTCCCCTCTAAGTGCTGTATGCCTTCCTGCAGTTTGAAATACAGTCTTGCTCAAAGGTTATTAGTACTGACACTACTAGTACATTAGTCTGACAGTTAATAGTTGTAGGACTAATAGTAATACCGGTACCATCACTGCTCCAGCTGACGGGTTTGTCCCTATGACTGCTCTTGTCTTTAGATACCCTGGATTACAACTGTATCGCTTAAAATACCAGGTGACAACAGTCAGATTTATAGCAACACTTCTTTAACCCAGTAACAGACTCAAAACTTACATTTCTTCAGCGTTATGAAAACGCTCCCGGAGGTCCTGCACTTTTGGAAGAGCCTTGTAAGCTCGGTCAGGAACTGCAAGAGAAAAGAGACGCGCCGGTGGCTGAGAGTCTCCACACGAGCTCCGAGCCCTTCTCCCCGCGCAGCGCCGGCCTGGCCCGGCCTCTCTCCCACCACCGAGGAAACACCAACTCCCGGCTGAGCCTGCAGGACACCAAGTCCCAGCCGGGGGACTGGTTCTGATTCCGAACACGAGCTCTGAGCTCGCCGAAACTCCCGCAGCCCCGGCCGAGAGAGAGCACGGGAACTGCCCGCTCCGCTCCCCTCCCCCGCAGCGGCTCCCACGCCGGCCCTGGGCCGGCGTGGGAGCCGCTGCGGGGGAGGGGAGCGGAGCGGGCAGTTCCCGGAGAATCTGTGGCGGGGCTTGGCGGTCCCCCATCTCTCTCTGTCTCTCCCTCCTTCCCTCCCCGGCTCCGCACCTGCTCGCTCTCCAGCAGCACCATCCTGCCCCGCTCCGGAAGGGCCGCCCGCGCTTGCGCAGCGCCGGGGCTGCGCCACGTCGGCGGGGCGGGCCGGGCTGAGGGCGGTGACTGCGGCCCCGCGTCCCTGGCCTGGCAGCGGGAGTGGCTCGCAGGCTTCACCCGTCCCCCTCAGTGAGGGGTGCAAAAGGCCCCGCTGAGCGCGGCTGTGGGTGAAGGGCGGGATTTGAGACTAAAGGAATTGGATTTGTGCAAAAACAGCAGAGGGGAAACCTGCGCCTGGCAGGGCCGAGGGAGCACTTCACGCCCTGACACTTGAAGCTCCTGAGGGCTGGGTTCTGTGGTGGGGGTTTCTGTCAGGCCCGTGGCAGTCGGTGCTGGAGCACACAGAAGTTGATCTCGTGCCTTTTCATGTATATCACTAGGAAAATAGATCTATTTTTCCTCCGTGGACCTAACAAAAGTGGAAGATAATGCCTTACAGATTAAAAACTGCTCTCAGGCTGACAGGTGCTTGAATCCCTGAGGAGTTCATACTGTTCATTTATGGGCTCTGGTCCAGAAAGTTCTAGACAGAACTGCAGCTCTAGACAGAACTGCAATGCCTTCTTGCATTATTATTCTCATGGTGGGGGTGTTGTTCCGTATATGAAACAACACGTGATAATGACAAAGCCTAGTCACCGCAAAAGTCCTTTTAAAGTCCACAATTACTCGCGGTCCTTCTGCAGGTTCGGCGGGAGGCAGTAGAGGGTGCTGTGATTGCGCACACAGAAATGAAGCTACCTAAAGAACAAGGAAACAAATGCCCAAGAAGCAGGTCATTGCAACACGGCCATGGTTTATGAAAATCTACCAGGTTATTAACGTAACTCCACTATGTTAGAGGCAAGGGAAGTGTAGCGATCCAGCACTGCTTTTCCCACATCGTGGATGGAATCATCCTCTTGATGTTTTTGCACTTGTATTATTGGCAGTTGAGGAGGAAAGACTTCAGTAAAATAAATTCCATTGTTTCTCACAGCATTAAAAATCTCATAAGAAAGGAGGAATATGTGTTATTGAAGCCTCCTGAAAACAGGTATTCTAAGGGGATTCCATCAGTGCTGTAGTTGGAAGTACCGATAGGCCAAAGCCCTGTGGAAGTGTAGTAAGTGATGATCCCTGCCCCTACCAGCTTGCAGTCAGTGGGCACAACAAGCGAACATGGGTGGATGCATGGAGTCAGTGCTGACACGCATTTCCTCTAACCCTGCCCGGTTGCTGGAGAAGTCATAACACACTCCTGACTACAGAGGTTGTTTTGTCAGAAATCAGAGTAGGGTTGTGTTTTCAAGAGCGCCCTGAACATGGTCAGAGTGTTGTAGGTTTTTACAGGCAACTTGTGAAAGAAGAGCAGAAATGGAAAAACTAAAACAATTGCAACATACTCCCCCTTGGAAACTACCATGGTCATAGGCACTGGAAGGCAGAAGTACATTTCCACTCATGCTTGCCAAAAGAGAAGATGGGTGGTCTTGTAGCTGGAACACAGGGACTACCACTGTCATCTGAATTCTGACTTTTGTCTTCACTAGAGAAGTCTTGTGTTGCCATGAACTGCTCTCCTAACTTCTCTGTGCCACAGCTCTTTATTATAAAGTTGGAGAAACATTATATGTAGTTATTTTCTTAAACTTTTGACACAACAAAGACCATCAATGTCTGTGGGAAGGACACCACAGAGGTTTTTTTTCCCTGAATCTCCCCTCTCTGTAAGGCGCTAGCTCTGTTGCTGGGGTGTACCTTTGGGACGCTGCGGCCGTAGCGGTGCCCATCTCAATGTCCAGGTAGATTCCTTGCAGGAATCTGTGACACTAAAGCTCTGGTTCTGCTGTATGCTGGAAGAAGGGACAAAGAGGAAACTGCTGTGAAGAACTCCAGAGAGTTGCATGAAGTTTATGTTTTTCAAATCTGTTGTTTTATCAGCAATTTTTTGGAACATATATTTGTCTCACTGCTAATAAAAGAAGTGGCTCTACTGAACTGCTGAATTTCTTTCCACAAGAAAGAAAGAGGATTTTTTTTTTTTTTTTTTTTTTAATGTGTGCATGTGTGTTAGCTTATCTTCGCGATCTTGAAGTTGTTTTTCAAGCCAGAATGTCACAATATAATTGGGGGAGAAGCCTTAATCACAACTTGCAAACAAGGTGAAAATGGAACATTTTTAACGATTGCTTTCCAAAAAATAGATGGAACAGGGGAATGCTGACATTGCTTTACTTTTGCCAAAGACTGCCAACACTCTGAGGGAATAAGCTATTCAGCTGGCGAAAAAGTGCTGAACAAACACTGAAGGAGCTAAAGGGATACTCCCAATCATGATATACTCGCTTTTCACTCTATCTCCTGCCCCAGTCTGATGTCTTTCCCCTCACCCCATGCCCTCACAAAAAAAAAAAAAAAAAAAAAAATGAAAAATAGAAAAAAAAAAGCAAAAAAAAAAAAAAAAAAAAAAAAAAAAAAGCAGGTTGGATTAAAACAGTAGCAAGAAGAATTGGTGGATCCTGAGAGTTGGCAGGGGTATTAGCATTTTGTAACCTGATCTGTCATGTGACCAGGGCCAAGCAATAAAAATAAGTCTCCTACCAGCCCTCCTGTTTGCTCAACTTTATTATATGGTGTCAGTGGAGAACTACTTTTTTTTTCTTTTTTTTTTCTTTTTTTGGCAAAAATTTAGCAAATGAAGCCACCTGAATCATTAAATCCTGAAGGAAATCTGGCAGAGAACTGGAGGAGGTTGTTGCTGCAGTTCCAAGTTTTCCTGGAAGCAAGCATGTACTGAAGAGAAAAGGAGAAGGTGAAATCTCTCCTCAATGCAGTGGGAGGGGCAGGAAACAGAAAAACAAACCTATTAGAAGTAAATTAAATTCTTGATCAACCTTACTAGAGGTTGGCAAAGATCTATTAAAATTAGCCAGCAAAGATTACTACTAGTTATGGACTAGCAGACACACATATTCAGCTCTGCACACAACAGTGAGCAGAAATATAATAGCATACTGTAAATTACAGTTTGCTCACCACAGTGCTCAAGATGAGTTAATAACAGATAATGGCCCACAATTCACAAGTGGATCATTGTGGTAATTCTCTTTGACCTGTAAGTTCAGGAATACCACGTCAAAGTATAGCTATGCACAGGAAAAAGTCAGTGTTAGAGCAAAAGCCTAGTAACAGCCTCCCCCCCTTTACAAGTCCATCATTAGCACTGTAAAAACAGAGATGTACACCTCACTGCCTTGCTGGCCTCACCAGATCTGAGATTAATAGGCAAAGGAAAAGCCTTTGAGAGCCAACCTTTAACAGAGGTTGTTTGGGCAGAAAGACTATCAAGCCTGGAATAGCTACCAAAACATCCCTAAGCCCTGTGCCAGGGGAGTAGAGAAGAAAAAGTTTGACAGGAAGGATCACTTATTCTTTTTTTCTGGTATTAGTTGGATTTCCAACAAAGCAATCAGTTGGTTACATTTGTACAGGTGAACATCAGTCCTGATATTGGGTCTTAACCTTTTTATAAATGGCCCTTGTGAAAAGAAATAAGGACATGCAAGGGGACAGTGATCAGAGACTTGTCGATCAAGGCAGATACAGAGGCCCAAGGCAGTGTTATTTGCCTCATCAGCTGGTAACCCTGAGAAAGAAAAAGATTCTGCCAAGAGACAACTAAACGAGGCATTTTAGAAAGATCTTTCTGAGACCACATTATGCCACCAGAAATCTGCTGAGTGATAAGCTTCTGGTGAGAAAGCCAACTTCCAAAGATAAGATCTCCTCAAGAAAAAAGGAACCGATCCTTAGGAACCAATGTCTTAGGAACCGATTCATTTACCCTAAGCTCTTCCCTAAGCATTTCTGTTCATTTTAGTGAATCCCTACTATTCTATTTATTATCATGCCATATTTACATGTAATGAGTTTCAGGACAGGTTAAGTGTAACCTTGAGTTCAACAGATGCTGACTTTCATTGTGTAATAGCAATGTTAACAGTGATTTATATTTTGTGAGGGAACCAGGAAATAGATATGGATACATTTCTTAAAACTCTAATGCACCACATTACTATTGTAATGCATATTGAAGCGTATCTGAGTGAGGCACAAAAAGATTTTTTTGTTGTTGGAAGAGATCTACATGATTTTGAAGTAGCATCCAGATTTTAAAAAGCTTCCCTATCAAGGAAGATAAGGGATGTATATTTACCATATTATTAAGTGTATCACATGCTTGAAGTGGTTTTGTGACAAGCCTCCATCCCACAAAAAATGGGGGGGAAAAGGCTGGAAGAAAAGCGCAGATGCAGAGCTGTTAATCTGTGCAGGTGATGGTGTCATCTCTGCTCTCTAAGAAGACCCTGGAATGGCATGTATGTACTGAGTCCATGAGTAATGCTGTAACACTCGACATACTTCTGGTAACAAGGAAATTAAAGAGCCAATTCCTTTATCTCCCAAAGTGTGAGGAAGGGCTGAGGGACAAGAAGCAACATATCATCATATGTGTTTAGTTTGAAGGACAGAGCAAGCAAAAGCCAGTCTCACATACCTCCATATCCAATGCAAAACACAGGAGGAAAATGGTCAGATAAAAAAGGAGAGAGATACAGTTTGAACATCCACCCTGTGTTTTGATTGGTCCCGGTAACTTTCAGCTGTGAGTAGAGCAGAGCAGAGTGTAAGAACAGCATGTTCTGAAGGACTGCACCTGCAAGGTGACACAGCTGAGATGTCCTTCCTGCTTGTCCCCTCCTCCTCCCGGTCCTCAGCCTGTGGCTGCTGCCACCACTGCTGAGAAGTGACACTGCACTGCACACGCAGACATCAGCCAGAGACTGTGTGGCCATGGCTGCGGCACCGTGGGTTTGTGGCATAAGTGCTCAGCATGGTTTCCGTGGGTCTTTGTAAGTCATCTGTGAACTCCAGAAGTGCAGGATTAAGCCTGTACCATATGATGCACCTTCTGGGCGCTTTAGAAGCAGTGTTTCAAACCTCAAGCAAACCTCACATCGCCTCTCTCCAGCGGGAAGAGTATCTCTAGTCATCACTTCATTTAGTATGGCAGCTTTT